CAGTATTTGAAAAAGATGGCTGCTTCGCTCATTATCCTCACCATCAAAATTCATTTGTCTACAAATCTTTACCGCCCTCCAATGGTGATCGGGTCAACCCATTCTCGCTAAACCTCCGGGTTTTATCTAAATCCAAAGCCCACTTTTCAAACTGCAAAATATCTGCAGCACCTGTAAGTATTCAATACAAATTCATTTCCATATTATTCTACTTTCTTGGTGCCCCTTTTTGTTGTTAAGAATGTTTTATACTTTGTCGTATTTGTTTTGTTTGAATATTGGGATGTGTAACTTGGCTTCAATATTCTTTATTTGTCCGTTCTTGGTCTAAACTTTCAGCTTTTTAGAGGTGTTCTGGTTTAGTTGAAAATTTGACTTTTTTAATTTTAATTTTCGAATATTAGCTATGTTGATTATGTTTGAAACAGTTGTTGAGTTTAGATTTCATTTATGTTGATCTATAAGGTGGGAGATAAGTGTTAAGATATTTGACAATCTTGGGGAAATGGGCGTTCTCGAGAGGTCCCAGCCAACTTCTGCTAAAAGTGGAGCAAGTTTAATTTTGTGTTTATGCTGGTGTTTGATACTTACAGGTGCGGATAGCCAAGAAACGCATCGCGTGGAAGGTGACTTTTTTGTATTTCATCTACTTTTGAGTTACTTTAACATGCTCATTTCAAATTTTTGTAATTAGCAATTGTGTTCACTCTTTGGATCATATGTTGTATTATGTGTTATTACTTGCTTCTCTGAGCTTCGCAAAAAGGCACTGAATCGTGTGAAAATACGACGAAGATCATGATTGACCAGTTCGTTACTTTTTTTTGGTGCACTTCTAGGACGTTTAGTTAATCAGATTTTTAATGAAACAAGTAATGTTTTATATATATATATATTGTTATTTAGCTTTTGAGGGCTAAACCGTAAAGCATATATAAATCAAGGCTTATTTTTTTGAACATCATTGATAAATTAAATTATTGAATTGAGAAATTTCTGATATTTTACAGAAGTTTAAGTTACGTTGTTTTTGTCTGGTCATTTTGTATTGATTTTCACTTTAATCCTTGATAATACCTATTAATAGGCAAGCATTCTTTGATTTTAAATATAACAACATAATGTTCACTAGCCTCCCATAAATCACTATTTACTTGCATCACTAACAAGACATAATGCTGGTGCTCTGGGGAATGTCTAACAAATAAAATTGTTATACGATTCAAGTTAGATAGTGACTTGTCATGTTGATTTTCCGATAACTTGGATATAACAGAGATTTCTTTTACCAAGAACTACTCATATTCCAAGCATTAACAAGAAAATAAATTGTGCAACTATTTTACCATTAGTTACGTCTAAAATGAACGTAGAATAAGTTCGTGTTTAATTCAGGCCTCATTTGGATGACAATACTGGCAGTGAAGTATGCAGATATCAGATTACTACTAATTTATTATATAATGTTCGTGTCTGTTAGCACTGTAAGATTATTGATAAGAATCCTAATTTGCTTTATTTCTGGTATAACCTAATTCTATGGAGAACGATGATGAAGGATTTCAAGTTTTCATTCACAGATTATTTCCTCTATATCTTACAGAGTTACACTAGCACATAACGGCGAACATTTACTATCAATATGTAATATTTATCTGCATTAACCAATGACCCTTCTCTACTTGCATTTGAGATGCTTACCATAAACGGGGCTTCAAAACCTTATGTAATTGAATATCTGATTAAGATTTTTGCTAAGCTAGGTACGCAAACATGGAATTTAAGAGTTTAGTAATGAGAAACCCCGTATACATCATTCAAACGGGCCCTTTTCTTGTCACTCAAACATTAACTATATCAAAACATAAGTTTGGTGATGTATTTTGATTTAAGATCACAACCTATCTTTAATATTTTCTGCAGTGAATGCATTGCGAATCATCAAGAGAAGTTTGACAGACCCATATCGGAATCTTCGTAATTGGAACAAGGGGGATCCATGTACTTCAAACTGGACAGGGGTTTTATGCTATAACAGAACAATGAATGATGGTTATCTTCATGTCAGAGAATTGTATGATTATAGTCCTCCCCCTTTTTGCTGTATCTTAGTTTGTAATATAAAATCTATTTAATGTACAATGGACTTTTACTGCTTCCAAATTATTTTAATTTTGTATGACTATTTCTATACATATCTGATCCTGCATCACTTGGCATCAACATTCATCTTCATAAGTGAGAGACTATCTTTGAGGACATATTTTAGTAGGCCGACTTTTTGGGTCATATTCAGTAGATCAACAGGAGGGATGTATAAATGCTCCTTCTCAGAAATATGGAGTGGAGAAATCAAAACCACCGACTCTTAGTAGTAATGTTGAGGCATGGGAACCAAATAACCTAGATGGTGATTTTTTT